ATTGTATGGCTTCCACGCGGCATTCTTTGGGAGTAGACAATTTTTTCACTCTTGCTTTCCTTTTTTTTTTTCGAGTCTCAAAGCTGCATTATTTTTCTTTTTTTTGATATATAAATAATGTGCATAGCAAAACGACATCGTCTTGCGTAGTTATTTTGCTGTAAATTCGCCTAAATGACCCTGCTTTAATTGCCTTTTGGGGGTTCGAATTGTAAATGCACCACTTCATCATATGTTCTGCGGTCCTACATACTAAAGCGATGTGACATCCACATCTATATCTATATATATATAATTACTAGCTAATAACATTTAATAAAATCTATTTAATTTTATCTATGAGGCAATTTAACCATTTCCCTCAAAAAACCGTTACTTTTGATGTATTTATTCTTTCATTTAATTATTAAATAATCAATACTAATTACTTCAAAATTATAAAAATCATTTTAAACTTTTGATTACTGACAGTTGACTATATAATGTGATTAGATGTTATTATTGTGATTACATTTAAATTATTATTTTTTAAATAAAAAATGTATTTGAAATTCTTTAATAAATAATAAATAATTCACAAAAAAGGACGTACCAAAATATGCATTACATCCAATCAGATAAACGCAATTTAAAAAAAAAATATTTCTAACTCTTTTAATTGTACATTTGGTCTGCAAAAAAGTGAAAAAGAAATAATTAATCATTATATGCATACTAATAACTCACAATACTTTATTTACATCTGTGCAAATGCACAGGTCTACTACTAGTATATATAATTGCTAGCTAATCATTAAATAAAACTTCATAAATAAAATCTATTTAATTTTACCTAATAAATTATACCTAATAAATACTATGACCTTCCATATAGAATGAACGTTACTTTTACAATTATGGATTATTACTGTACATTTATGATTATACATTGTAACGTTTCATTCTTTTAAATGGAATTTTCATCTTTTTATTTTCTTTTATGACATCTAATAAAAACTAATTGAAATTTAAAATAATCTATATATAATTAGGAATTATCACAACAAAATTTTGCATATTCCACTTTTTTTTTTTACATAGTAGCTTGGTTTTTTACTTAATATGTAAGCATACTAATGTTGAAATTAATTGTTACAATTTTATGCGCTCATTTAATAATTCTAACTTTTATTCTATATATTTTTTAAATTAATGATTACAAATTATTCTACAAAAACATGTGGTATAATACAAAAATAAAAAAATTAAAATAAAATAATCGTTCTTATAAAAGAAAATTTATTGTTGCATAAGAACGTGTTTAATTTTTAAAAAATGCATTCGTTTATATAAAATTCATAGCCTCAAATAGTAGTAGTAATGATAATCATAATAATAATAATAATAATATTTAATGTATTTTATATAAATATCATTCCCGTTATGATTATATTTATATTCCTATATATATAACTATTCACAAAGAATTTATTGCAAAATAAAATTAGCACATTTTATTCAACTAATTGTAAAAAGAAGTTGTTATATTTTTCATTAATTAATTAGATTATGTATTTTATAATTACATAATAACTAATAATAACTAAAGGATATAAGAATGTTTATACATATAAAAAAAAATTATTTAAATTTTTTAAGCTACTTATTTAAAATAATAATAATTTTTTACTCATTAATATTATTTAATAAAAATAGTTAATTACTTTTTATGGCATAACCAATTTTTTTTTTTTTTTTATCTAAATTGGTCATAATCACTATTATGTTCTACAATTATCATCATAGTGATTTATATGTAGGTGAAATAGTTTATACTTTTATCGTTTATATTTACAAACTATAAATTTTTTGTAATTTGATATACTCACTATTTATCTTAAAATTTAAATATTATAAGAATCATGCAATCCATCAATTAAAATGGCGGGACCATATTAGAGTCAGTCAAAGAAATAAATTAAAATCAATCAATTATTCTTTAAAACTGAGCAATCACTTGGCAATTAAATTATACAATCAATGACCATTTTTTTAAAACTTTATAAATAGCTGAAAAAATAAGAACCAAAATCACATTCAGCAAAAAATACTTCTCAATAGGAAAAAGAAAAAAAATTCAGCCAAATTCTCATTTCAAATGGCTTTTATATTTGATAATATTGAAGTTGATTCGCCATTATTCAACAAGATCTTTGATAAAATGAAAATAAAAAGAAAAAACATCAAAATGGAAGATTGGAGTATGTATTTCACGATGTCAAGGTATAAGAAAATTTCAGCCTTTTTTAACACATACTATTTCAATATCAATTTTTTATAATATTATTTTTTATCATGTAGGGTCAGTGAATTCACTCTTCAGGCCCCAGTTGTCTTCGCTGAAAAATTTTAAGAAGTTTAAAATCAATGAGAGTCGTATTTATGGCATAAAAAGTTTTAAGGTGTTTCCCTACCAGAATTATTTGTCATTAAAAATTTATACAACAAAAATGATCCGAAAACTTTATCCACGAAAGAATACAAAAAGCATACAAATATATTAAAACTTTAAATAAACAATTCACATCTAGATCAATAGCTTCCCCGTTGATAAATTAAGAGCATGACTACGACAGCTAAAAAAAATAGGAATCGATTCGAGTGTTTGTGTTAGATGAGAGAAAAAAAAAATTAAAAGTGAAAAAGAAACGGCGAAATGTTGCACGTGGTAGGGTTTCATGCATCAAATACCTGCCTCTACCACCTTCTTAAATGTTCTATATATGTGTGGTGGATGAAACTTTGGCCGTGCTATATGGGTCCGAACATCCTTCATCAGTGCATCAAACTTCGCCTTAAAGACACGACAAATTATATCTAGACGGTCCTCAGGGTTGAGGTTCCTTTCAGAAAGGAATCGACTGATTTCAGGCCACTTGGGGTTGCAAGTGATAGTTATGAAGATATCAGCATAACTGGTACAACGATAAATGGTAATCGCATCCAACGACAAAGGGTGCACTTCAATTGGCAGCCAATAAAATTCTTATCAATCATTTATATTTTCTTTGATTGGTGTACAATTCGATTGATATGTTTTTGTTCTCTAAATTTGAGATCAACATATACTCGATTAGTTATTAGTAAGCTCAACAGCCATGTATTCGAAAGTAAAATATGAACCGGTGCCAGAGCTTGTGATAAAGTTCTTATTCGTATGCTCCAAAACATACCATCCGATTTGAGGGTACCTTTCAAGTTTCAATGCAGACAGTTTCTGCTCATGGTTTTCTATGCTATGACAATCAATAAGAGTCAAGGACAATTCTGTCGCACATCAGCTTACTACTGAAGAGCCCTGTATTTAGCCATGAACAATTGTACGTGACGCTTTCTAGAGTTACAAACCGAAAGGATTTGATGATAATGATTTGTGGTGATGAAGATTCTGACGATTAAAAAACCACGAATGTTGCACATAAAGAAGTGTTTAATAATATTTAATTTAAAAAACATTTTTTTCGATGATTATGTTATGATTTTTACTATTGTTTATAATTTTTTATTATTTTATTCTTTATCATATAGCTTTCTGTGCAAATGCACATGTTACAACTAGTCCCCATTAAGAGCGACCAAACGACGTCGTTGATGACTGTCACAACTCACACACTTTTAATTCTTATATTACTAGTTGGCTTCGTGGCTGTGCACGCACAACCGACCCTAGTCCAGTTTATAATTACAATAACTATTTGTCAAAATTTAAAAATACACATACCTATTTTTTATGGCAGTTTCAAATAAGTTAACAACAATATATAATGAATAAACAATGCAATAATATAATGTACCGTTTACATTTATTTTCATTTATACTTGAAAATCAAGCGCAAGTCTCAACTCTCACTTGTTAAAACGTATCTCTCCAATTACTGTAGATACAACCAACATGCCATTGGCTCGAGCTAAACCAGCCCACTTCGTGATATTGCCAGTTCCTTGGCAATTAAATAGTCAATCCATCAGACGCCATCGACTTTAAGTGATGGTACTCCTTCAAGGATTAAGAAACACCATAAGCTCTTCTCTCCCTAACTACCCTAGACAATTTTTGCAATTAGCAAGACCATGCATCAATAAAACATATCCATCCACGAGAAGTGTGTTCGCCTACAGCTCAATGCATAAAATCTTGATTGCACATGAACAAACTATATCTAATTCTTCCACTATTGGCTCTAAACATATATACCAATGTGATTTTTTGTAGTCCTAAAAAAAAAAAAGTTATTTTTCCTTATTTCATATAGAGACAAAACAACATGTGTTGTAATAACTATTAACTATGCATACAATGGGAGATGTAGCTCATTTCAGTTTTTATTTTTATTTTTTTATTATTTTCTTTTTTATTTAAGTAGAGGAAAAGTATGTTAAGAAAGTTGAGCTAATAGCCATCAGTTTGAGCAAACCACTCACGTGAATTTTATTTCACCGCATAAATAGGGAAAAACAGGAGGTTCCTGGAACCAGTGCGTTGCATTTTTCTAACAACCAGAAACCAACATCAAATTTGATAAGATAACAATTCAATTAAATATATTTAGTTGAATGTAAGAAACCATCAACCAGATGGGACACCACATATGATATTATTTGGAAAAGTAACTTTTTATACAAGATAAACTGCATTTTTAAAATTACCTTTTTAGGACACAATGATCAACCAAACAATTTCCAAGTCAGCATTAGTTACATAACTCTTTCACATTACCAAAGATGAAAATCACTTAGAATATCATATGCAAAATGTCCATGTAAAAAACACAAAGACGTCAACATATTGAGAATGGTGGATACCTGGTTGATTTTACCACCTTTCTTCCATTGGATGTCTCAACACCTGGGTTACATTCCTGAAAGACGTCAACATAGCAACTGCATTCTTAAAAAAAGAGGGATTTTCACCAAAGAAAAAGAAAAAGTAAGACGAAAGGAAAAACAGAGCATACCATGTACTACAAAACAAAGTATAAGACATCACTTTCTCTTATAACTTCCTTGAGCTTCACTATATCTGGATGGTTCATTTTCCTCAGCGACTGCCAAAAATAACCGTGTCATTCATCTGACACACATATATCATAGAATAAACCAAGAAAGAAATACTTCTTACCTTCACTTCTCTAAGATTTATACATTCTTCCCATGAGTAATATTTTTTCTTCATTTTCTTGATCACGACCTGAACAAGAAATCATTAGTATTACAGAGAATTTTAGTTCCACTTATCCTTATTCCTCAATCTCAAGGGATAACAACCTATCTGATTCAACAACAAAGGAACATAAGATATTTAACACGGGCATACCACTTCGCCACATGGTGTTATATGTAGATTCTATTAAACAAACATATTCATGAAAACACAGAGGGACCTAAAGTTGATGGCAATTAAGCTCAGATCTCAAACCATATTAAGAATGAACTTTGAAATCAAGTTTTCTTGGAAACCTAATCACATAAACACAAATATTTTTTTTTTAAAAAAGGGCAAAATCAGATACATCATGTTATAAGATTTCACACAGTGGAATTAGTGCTCCACAAACCTTTATGTAGACTTGATGTCTTAAATGATCAATAACAATTGAACTTCACACCAAAACCCCCCACAACAGGGGAATACTCCTGCCCAGATCACCTCTAGATCCCAACATCATGTATGGTATCTTTTTCTCGTCCTATAATCTCATCATGCCTCACAAGTAAAATACAATAAAAAAATTCTTATCCACATTTGATATATCAGACATGCCCTCGTGGACAGTGACCTCCCTTCTTGTGAGCAGAATGAGTATCATCACAACAAATCATTTTCAGTAGGTGCATCCATTCAGATAACCCTTTATCATGCATTAATATATAATCTCGTTTCTATCTTTCTGGAGTCCAGATTGTTGCTAAAGTAATGACTCTGTTTACGTGGAATACCAAATTAAATATATGCACTTAATAACCAGTGAAAAACTACAACAGTCAGATTAAATAAGCAGTGACTTCTCTATCAGAAATCACATTAAACAGAGAAGTATCATAAACAGTGAATGATCCATAAGAAAATAAAAAAAAAAAAATATATCCTCAGTTCCTTGATGTTTGTGAGCATATAACTTGGTAATCCTATTTCGGTAAAGAAAAAAAAAAAGTCTTGACAATCTGCTCATCGATTTCGGAAAAAAAAAAGAAACAAACAAAATAATAACACACTTCGAACCATACCCCATTTCGTCACAATCTAAGCACACCCTCTAAAGAACAACCCTGTCATATCTAACCATGATGATGTGAAAAAAAGGGTCCCTGTGTCTTTTATATGAACTACAGCTGCACACATCAATACAATAAATCAATAGTAAGAAAAAATAGTAATGACATTATAAGTCATAAAAAAACTAAACTGACTATATATGGGTTTGGAGCTGAACTTTCTGTGCATCTGAAGCAACTGTTGGATGTCGCAAATGGAGATTAATATGTCTGGTGTAACATTCAGAATATTAATTTTCATATATTCTAATATACAGGTTAATATGAAAAATGGTCATCTGAAAATTGAGTAATGCTATAAAACCCACTTGGGTTACAACTCAAGTGTAAATACATTATTTTTTTAGTTTCTTGATAATGCAATTACACTTGGATTGTAACCCAAGTTGTCATCCAAATTGGCTAATTAGCATTACTCATGAAAATTTGATATCGAATCATCAAAATCTAAATCAAAGTCTTGTAGGTATGATACATAATTCTCTTTCTTTTGAAAAAGGAAAATACACATTTATATTTAAAATCTCACAACGTAACATTTTTAAACATTCACATCCAGCAGTAAACGAAAAAAGAGAAATCTAATTCGGAATTACGGTTAACTACCTGAAGGATGTCTAAAAAATATTTCCAGACTGGTCCACATGCGGATGAAAACATCGTCTCAAACCTTATTTGAGGAGTCTTGAAAGGATAATCGAGGGTAAAACATAAAGAGAGCTTGTAAGGGAGGCCCTCGTACATGGTTCCTTTTCCACCTTCAATAGTTCCAATCCAGTTAAATATGCTATCCCCTTCACTAAAAGCAGAAACTCCAAAATCTCCCCCCATCATCTATATGAAATTAGTTACTATTAGCAATTAAACAGCTGGCAATTAGTAAAACAAACACAAACACACACACACATACACAAAGTTTGCACCATAAGGACACGACACCTCACTACTTGCAAATAGACAGATGCCCTCTAAATCATCCGTTTCTACATTCATCAAAATGACGACACATCACAATGTCAACACAACTAAACTAACACATTTACTTAGTAGAAACCAGTCAGGTAGAACAAAAAATGGAAAAATATATCAAGTTTGAGGGCCAAAATTTGTTTTGTAGGTATGATGTTAGTTCCATTGTTTACATAAGCTTTGGATTCTAGATTATCAATAATTTCTATTCCAACAAAAAATTAGAGTTTTCACAAATAACGTAAGCAAACAGGAAACCATACATGGCAGACCTCAAGCTCTTTCGTCTCTGATCCTCCAAGACAATTGGATATCCTTGTCACCCTCTTGGTGTGAATTGCGCATGCATGGCATGTTCTGTTCAATACAAAAGCGCTAGATTATTACAAAGAGTAATAATTATTAATTGTTGTTGGCTATTCTATGACAATAACTACTTGAATCCTAATTATACCAATATGACAAAAGATTAATAAGCAAGAATGGTTTATTGCCAGAAATGTAGATTACTAACATGGAAGAGAGATGCCAAATCTTGATAGCCATCAATCCTTTTTCATGTTACACTTAAGAAAACATTAAGTTGCACTTTAAAAGACACAAAATTCAATATAAGTTAAAAAAAAAATCGAATAAACTAATGAAGCTTTGTGATATAAGCACACAATATATCTAATTTAATCACCTTACCTTGCAAGGCAAAAATGTGTGTCTTGTCAACCCAACATCCTTATCCATTTCACCTGCCAGCTTGTTGAACTTACCATCAAAATCATAGGCAACCTAAGAGAGTTCAAACACCATGCACAACCTGCTCACTACCACCACTACCACTGGCAATCATCAAATAATCAGCTTTGGCGTACTCAACATAATCAATTGTACGTTCTTATATTTGACGGAGAATTTACCATCGGCGGATGGTGGTGCACTTGAAATGGTTTTTTTCCAGTCTGCAATACAACTACTGGAAATGAATCAGCACTTGTTGGGGCGACTTCTTTCACCTGAAACACAAAAAGGAACTATTTTCCCAAGATTATACAAATCAAAACCCAAAGCTAAATCTTGTAATTAATCATGGTAGAAGATCAGTGATCAGGGCTAAATTACACTTTCAATTATGTTGTTTAAAAAACGAAATGGAAAATGAGAAACAAAGATGTATACCGGTTGTGTGTTTAGTTTTTTATTTTTTTCAAATTATTTAAATTTTAGTTACATTTTGAAGTAGGAATTTACCCATTCCGTGTGTCATCGTACCTCGCGGTGTTGGTGGAGGACTGGCTTCCGTGGTCGTTGTTCGGAAGCAGCAAATTTCTTCGTCCTCCTCTTCTTATTCTTGTTCGTCCTCTCCTTTTAATTTCTTCATCTTCATCCTCTGAATCATATATACTTAGGTCATCCTCTGAATCATGTATACTGAGGAGATGATCAATAAAGCGAGATCTCTAAACGTGGCTATACTGAGGATATTGCTTCCGAGGCTCGAGACAATATATAGAAAATTTTATTAAAATCTACAATTGGAACAAAATCTCTTCCCCTTCCCAAGATTTATTCATCACTTAATTATTATTAAATTAAAAAAACCAAAGAATTTAGACAATAATTATTATCTAGTATACTTAAGCTTTCTATATACCCGGCCAAGATGATCTCTGCCGGTTTTTTGCTCGGTGAGCTTCGCCCGAGCAGAAGCCTTGTGAAATGACTTGAACATCAGTAATTCGTAAATAATTCTATTCAATTAGCAGGTGTTCAGTTCAGGAGCTTAAGGCATCAAATATATCTTCACCTTAGAAAAATAGTAGTTGAGGACAAACAATAAGTGCAAATATGTTAACTAAATGATTACACAGTAAAGTTCAGACTGCAGTTGAACATTGGACATACACCAAAAACATAAAGCTATTAATCTGTAATCTCATTAATGATAGAGTACATAAAATAAACAAAACAAACTAAACCCCCAAATATTAGTAAAATCTAAAATCAGAAAACTTCAAAATGGAAACAATATTCTTTCATGCTTCTCATCCTAAGTGATGTGATTATCAACCCATTACAATTGATTCTATATCATCTCCGCCATTAAAACTCAATCAACCAAAAATAAAAAAACGATGAATATTGTCAATTTTCAAAGGATCTGAACAAAAAGAGATCAAATCTGGCAAACACATGAAAATGAAGCGCCACAAGGGTAGTACAAAGATACCAAATCCATAGAAGCCGTAGGATCCAAAAGAAACGACGACGTGGAGGGGCTGAGAGAGCATCTGGAGAAGGGACACCTCGCGCAGAGCCGTCTAGGGTCACTCCTCCTTGTCCATCTCCAGCCGCGTCTTCTTCAGCGCCACCACCTGCCACGTCGTCACCACCGTCGACGATCTCCAGCGACCTCGACGCCATCTCGTCGTTGTTCTCCTCCCGCTCGCTACTCTTCTCGGTCAGGCTAGACAGCGTGCCGTTCGACTACGCTGCCGCCATGACAGTCTGACCCCCTCGCCGTGGAGGCGCACCTGCAGTGAGCCGGAGCCGCTCATCGGCGCCATATGAGGAGAGGTGGAGTTTGATTGCTGGAACTGCTGCTCCTTTAACGTATGGTGACGGTGAGAATTAGAAAATGAGAGCTTTGGTAGGGTTTGTGAAGAGGTAAGGTGGCGGTAAGAATTGGGAAAAGAGAGGTTTGGTTGGTAGGGTTTGTGAAGAGGGAAAGATATTACCTGCTCCCGTCGAATCCCATCCTTGCGTGTGCGGAAATTCTGCATAAAAGAAGAAAATGTTGGAAGAATTCAGTCAAACCCGTATCAGATTACATGTGATCCCCAAACGACACCGTTTTGTTAAAGAAGAGAGGGCATCAAATGTAAAAAGAGGACCAATGTAGGGGCATTTCCGTCTTAAAAAATGACACGTGTCACGCCCTAAACCCCTTACATTTTTGCTTATATGTAAGGGGGAGATATTATATTAACAGATTTTTTGCATTCTCTCGCACGCCATTCCACCTCCGATACAAAATCTCTCTAAAATCCTCCTTCCTCCCATCATCCGCAGTAAACCCACCTCCAAATCCTCTCAAGCTTAACAAACCGCCGCCGCCGAAAGTCCTCTGTTGCCTCAAACTCGACCCGTAGTCTCCACTCTCCAACAAGCCAAAACCTAGACAAGACCCTAAGAATCTGTTGTCCGACAACGACGCCCGACGCATAATCAAGGCCAAAGCCCGATATTTGACGTCCTGAAGCGGAACAAGGGCTCGCGCGTGCAGACACCCAAATGGATTAAGCGCATGCCCGAGCAGATAGTGTAGTACCTGGAGGACAAGAGGAACGAGCACCTGTACGGACGGGACGTGGTGGCTGCGATTAAGCACCTGAGGGGGAGTATGACATGAAGGATGTCGTGGATTCATTTGTTGCAAAGCTTAGTTTCAGAGAGAGGTGTGTGGTGTTGAAGAAGCAGAAGAGTTCGCGCCAAGTTAGGGACTTTTCGTCTGGGTGAAATTGCGGGTTGCTTTCTGTTTTAGCCTTTTTTTTTGTGGATTTCCATCCTTTGATTGATGGTCAGGAAAGGTAGAGAATGGAGGTGTGGATTCAAGATCTTAGTTCGGACTGTCTCCTATCACTCATGAATTCCGAAGAGACTTAGACCTCGACCAGACGCCTCTTTCACCATCATGATAAATGACCAAGTAAACCAGATATAAAGATGGCGACTAGGGTTGCTGTTTTCTTTTTAAATTTGTTGGGACTTAAATTGAGTGTTATTTTACCAATTCTTATATGATATGATTTTTAGTCTCTCGCAGAAGCTTGTTTTTTGTTATTGAATCATGATTCTATTGATATGCTTGTATTGCGAACCAAACGAGGCGGAAAAGGGGGCTAATGAAAAAAAAAAAAGAACAACCACATTTTAGCTCGAGTTTTAAGGAATGGGATAATAGTTTGTTTGTCTCACTTGTTTGTTTGATGGTGAGGAAGTTTGTGGTTACTCGAGTGTTTCAGTTCATTGTAAGGGTTGAAAGGCTTGGTAGAATGTGATTCATAAATTATAACATCATAACAATAAATCAAAATACCTTGTGTTTAGTCTTTTCCTTCTCAAGCATGGTTGTGTTATCCATTAAATATGTGAATTCTTATTTTGGTCAAATCGAGATAAGATTTGATGGTCTGACTTAGCACTGTGTAGCAGACAGTGGTCCTCATGAAGCTACTCCCATCAAGAACACCCACGAGAACTCTACCAGATCCTTCACCCATGGCTCACGAGGTACAACAAAAAGCTGACGGTCCCTCATGCGAGATCCAGAATGCCTTGACGCTGGTGTTGCCTGGGGAGTTGGCGAAGCTTACTGAAACTGGTGGGTTCTACTGAAGATAATATAATGAGGTGAGAGTTTTGTATCATCTGCTTGTCGTTTTGTGCTACGATGCAAGAAAGGGATCAAATGGATTCCAAATTTTCTCTATTTCTATGATATATCAACTTTAAGGCACTTGGCTTAAAAAGTTTTGATAGTTTGATCACTCTTTATGCTCTTCTCTGTAAGGCCCTATTTTAGATAATCCCTACATTATAGTATCATGTTCTCACATAAATGATGCTCCACGTACTTCCGTTTGGTTCACAACGTCAATTTTGAATTTTAAGATCATACATGTCTGAAATTGGTTACCTTCTTCTAAAGTGATATCATGTTCAACGCCTTGAGGGAATAGCTAGATTATAAGACTTTTCGCATCAAATATTTGAATATGTTGGGTCGAAAGTCTGAGGATGTTAAAGAAAATATCTACTCGAGGCAGGAGCTCTACTGCGAGGGTTTGCGATACAGCTGGAGGAAGATCACAAGGTAAGCATTGACGGGCATTTAAATTTCAGCAGGAGGAACACAGGTTCAAGAGGTGACACATATGACTCAGATGCTCTCTTTTAACAATGTTTAGTATATTTTATTTAATTTCTCTCTCTCTCTCTCTCTCTCTCTCTCTCTCTCTCTCTCTCTCTCTCTCTCTCTCTCTCTCTCTTAGTTTTCCTATTTTTCAAGGTACTTTGTAGTTTGGTAAACCCAGAATTTAGCTTCTCGATAAAAGGATTGTATCCAGCGGTGATTTTATCCTTTTTTTTTTTTTCTAAATGATCCATTGTTTTTGCTTTTTTCTGTTCTTCTTTGTTATTTACCTTCATTTCTATGCTAGAAGCTTCTCATGATCTTTGGTTATGCTGGAAAGAAAAAAGATACTTCGGTTTGTATGTCTTGTATTATCAGTTGATCAACTATGGTGATTGTTTCTTTCCTATTTTAACATAGCTTCTCATAGCTATGGTGATTGCTTCTTTCCTATTTTGACATATAACTTTCCAGATTGTTACAGATTATTTGTTTTGTTCTGGGCATGATACTGTTGATTAATAAAAATCCTACCACATGTGTTTTGATGTGTTTAAGTTGTTCTGATATTGTTTCTTCTTTCTCTTTTTAGATCACAACATATATAGGATTGGGGATCTGTAGTTAAACTGTAGGTATATACATGGTACTTTTCTTATTTACGAATCATGGAGACATTGTGGAGTGATTCAAATGACAACGAAATGTGTTTTCATAAATCATATTTATGTTTTTTTTAGAATTTTTTCATATGATGGAAAACATTTTTTAGGATATTTTTAAATCTCTATAAAAAAAATATTTAGTTTTATTTTTTGTTAATAATCAGACCCATTGAAGATTTTGCTTTCTTATTTGTGCATGTAATGTGATTCTTATGTTTGTTCCGTCTCTCAAAAGGTGGAAACTTTTTCAGTTTTTGTCAATTTGGTAAGCTTAGGACAATGCTTGCGTATTTTATGTTATATGTTATTTTTTTCATTTACCTTAGGCATTGATGTTGCTTTTCATTTTTCTCTCGCCTCTATGCAAGATGATGGAAGAGTATTATTTTCCTTTTCTACTCGGTCAAGTACTAACTGGATAATCGTAAACTTGACTGAATAGATAAACGTCTTTACAAGCCCAGTTTCTGGTTTAAAGCTTTCGGAACTTACCTATTTGTTTAGTTAATTCGTTATCCGATCTTAAATTGTCTTCAATTTTTTAGAAACTTTTCTATTGGGAATAATTATTCGGTTTTACTCGAAGCGGATTTATGAGCATGTAATCTCTCTCTTTCACTCGGATAATATCTGTAACCCAAGTTAATGGTATGCGTTTATTGATTTTGTGGTTCTTGGGCTACATTGTGGACGAGACATTGTAATATTTTCTATGTAATAGATGCTTTTGCATTGAATATTTTGTGAAATGAAACTGTTGGATTGTGAATAGATACAGTTAGTAACTACACAATGAATGGAGAATGAATGGAGAGTGTATATGGTAGCTATCGATCTGTAGAAAAAAATATATGGGTTGGGTTCGACATTTTCTCTTTTGATTGCTTATTAAGTTCGCATGATTAACTATTGTCGATTAAATGTTTTACTAAATATAAATTATGAAAAATAAAAACATTGTTTCCTCTTGATGTATTATATATTATTATTAGTTTTACTGTTGCTATTCACAAGATAAAATACATTGTCGCCCCTTAAAATTTGAAAGAGTTATCGATTACTTGTGAACCCAAAAAATGAACATGGAGACTTTGAATACCTGAGGCAGATTCATGAAATGGTGGCAGGTAACAAACTCCCTTCTGCATATATATATTTTTCCGGTTTATGTTCTCTCAATCTTAATGAAATTTTGTCAATTTTTAACTTATCTTTTATTTTGTAATTTTAATATGTGTTTGGCATGTTCTGGATTTGTTAGGGATTTTTGCGATTCACAAAAGGGTGGTGGGGAGGCAACTACAGCTTTGGGTCTTGTTAGTTTAGGGCTTGCAAATGTTAGCAAAATAGTTAGTCCATTTCCTTTGTTTGACTAAAGTTGGCACCTTTTAGAGGTCTTTTTTATGCTTAGCTTATTATGATGATCCTGAAGAGTTTCAAATAATTGCTGGGATCATAAAAGACCATACATATTGGTTTCATGAATGATGAAGCCTTGAGATCTTCACCGGGTTTTCTGGTGCAAATGGAGAAACAATTGAACTCTTGTACACGCATTTATTGTTTCTCACATAAAGTTTTTTCAGTTTAGAGAAAATTTAATCATTTCTAATTTCAAATGTATGCACCGAGTACACAGGCTCCTGCTGGTGATTTTTGGACCTTGAGATACACGACAACCTTCGAAACTATGTGTAGTGTTGAAAATTGTCTTTCTCTATTCTATTGTAGTAATGATGTTTCTCTTCAAAAAGGTGAAAAAATCATTGCCCTCTAAGTACTTATTGTTGAGCTCGATGGCTTAGGCCGTATTTTCATGTGAGTGTGAGGTATAAACAGTGAAAGAATTATCCCTGATGTTTTGAGTTCTGTAGAAGTTGTAGTCCCCACTCTAATTTTGGAAACCTCTCTCATTATCACCAGTATATTATTGTAAGTTGTCTTGGTGACATTTCTTTTCTGCTACGTGCATCTCATCGTGATAATTCATTTTCGATTCTCTTACCTGCTTGTTTGTGGATCTATGGATTAAGTTGTTTAGCTCACCAACCTGACAACCTCCCAAAAGTTATTCATCTGCTGCTTTAACATAGGCAATGCATGGGGAGAGCTTGATAGTAGGCTACATGATGAAGCCTTCTCGATAAGAGGATTTTTCAAAAGCAGTTCTATTTGGTTAATAGTTGCACCAAATATTATTTTGCGTCTTTCATGATGTTGTCCCTTAAGTAACAACTCCAATGCCTTCTGCCATTTAATAGTGGAACTTGACTTAATTTTGGTACTAAATGCATCCAATCAAAGTAAATTGTATTATTGTTATGATATCCACTTTCATCATTTTGCTTAAAACCACAGATTATAGCCTCAAATAGTAACATGAACAGCAAGGTGACCGTAATGGTCCGAGCCATTTAACATTCAGAGTGACAAAATTGCAGGTGGCTTATTGTGTATCCAAATATTGCCTGAAATAATGCATTAGACTTTGCTCTCTGCACCCATCTGTTATTTTTAATTGTTAGTGTTGTACTTGGCTTCTATTTTTAATTGTTATCTTCAAACACACAACTCTTTTCTACAATTTGATGAATTTTAGCTGCATTAAGAAAAATATACAATTTCCTCACATAATGTATAATTTTTTTGGTTAATAGTTACAGATGTAATCTGCCAATGATCATTCTATAATTTTTCACTTCTGACTCTTATGTAGCTTTTTTTTTGTGTGTATATTTTGATCTTAGTACTTAATTTTTTTTTCTTTTTTTGACACATACTGATTGGCTAATTTTACATATTTATAGCACTCAAAGTTTTTGCTACATTATTGGTTGAATGGGGGTCGGCTGTGCACGCACAGCCGAGATCCAACTAGTATATATATATATATATATAATGACTAGTAGTGCTGTAAACGAACCGAACCGAACCGAGCTTGGGCTGTTCGAGCTCGTGTTCGTTTATGTTCGAACAGTGTTCGTGTTCGTTCGTTTATTTTTCGAGCAAAAAATCGTGTTCGAGATCGTTCGTTTAATTGTTCGTAAAAGTTCGAGCTCGTTCGTGTTCGAAAAATTTAATGCATAAACTTTGTAAATATGTTTAATTAACTCAAAATTTGTTCGTTCGAGCTCGTTCGAACTCGAAAATAAAAGAACAAAATAAAAATATTTTTATATTTTATATTTTTTATTAAAAATATTATGTGAATATATAAAAAATAAATAAATTTATACTAAATTTTAGATTTTTATTAAAAATATTATATAAATATATATAAAATAAAATAAAATTAATTAAATTAGTGTTCGCGAACATAATCGAACGTTCACGAACGAGCTCGTGTTCGTTCGATTATTAAACGAGCCTAATTTTTTGTTCGAACTCGACTCGATTAATAAACGAACGAGCTTTTGTCGAACACGAACGAGCTCGAACGAGCTTTTGTTCGCGAACGCTCGGTTCGTTTACAGCTCTAATGACTAGTAGTAAAATTGCTTTAGAAATACATTCAAATATATAAATCTTAAAGTAAGATAAATCTTAGTGTAAGATAAATGAACAAGCAGTCGTTGTAGTATAGTGGTGAGTATTCCCGCCTGTCATGCGGAAGACCCGGATTCGATCCCCGGCAACGGCGAAAGCTTTTTTTCTTATCTTTTTTGTAATTTTTTTTGGCCCTTTTATGTGTCTAAATAAATTCTGAAAACTCACAAATAAACGCTGTCGTTTTGCTATTGGGTTGTAGCACCAATTTATTGCGAGGAGGGAGATAGGAGAGGGGAGAAAGAGAGAGAGAGAGAGAGAGAGAGAGAGAGAGAGAGAGAGAGAGAGAGAGAGAGAGAGAGAGAGAGAGAGAGAGAGAGAGAAAGAGAGTTCCTCAATTCGAGCTAGGTTGAGATGGGGCATAGAGAAGCTGCCGGTGACGCAACAAGCAACAGCGACTTGGATATTAGCCCCGGCGGCGGCGGCCGCGGCGACGGCGACAGCGGCTTGCGTAGTTTTCCTCTGGCGGCTCAGCCGGAGATAATGAGGACAGCTGAGAAGGACGATCAGTATGCTTCTTTTGTCCACGACGCCTGCCGGGACGCCTTTCGCCATCTCTTTGGTATTTTATTTACATCAATTTGTTCCTCTTACATCGCACACTCAACTGATTTAGAACTGCGGCCCAATTTCTTAGTAATTGCCTTATCTTTCCAGGTACGAGAGTTGCCATTGCGTACCAGAGTGAGGTTTTGCTCTTGTCACTCAACTTCGTTCATTTTCATGAAGTGTTGTCTGCTGCTGCCATCAGCTAAAGCTGATACATCTGCTTTCTATGTGACATTTGTGGTTTTACTACTCTGAACTCATAACTCAATAATTTTATTGGATAACCTGCAGTATTTGTATGCCGTTTGTTGTTTCAATAGCATAAGAAGTCATACAATATGAATGCTGTATTTGCTAACAGAGGAGCATAGAACAATATCGTGATCTTCCGGGCAATGCTTTTATATGTCATTCGAAATTGTTCAAAAATTGGGTACTTAATGGATATGAAATTTCCGATTCCAGCTCATGAATGCCATGGATGATTTGTCTCATTTAACTGTGGGAGCTGCTTGTTAACGTGTTCGTTTTGCTATCTCTTGCTATAATAATTGATTTAAGATTCTTTTGCTTCTTTTTTGAGAGTAGGTGGCTTATTTACTTCTACACGTTTATTTTGTTTTCTTGTAGATGAAACTATTGGGGCAGATACTCTATTATGTCTTAACAACTGGTGCAGGGAAACAGACCTTAGGAGAAGAATATTGTGACATTACACAGGTGCGCATCTTTTGCTGTCGTCTTCCCGAGTGTTAATGCATGAGGATGTGAATGATGCTCACACATCTTTGGTGCTCATTTAGGGTGTGCGTGTATTTTATGTGCGGACTACTTTCTTATATTAAGTTGAGAGATGCAGAGAGGAGGTACTTTTTAATAGGGTACCATTGTGGTTATTGTTATCCTGCTTCTGTTCCACGTGCATTATGCCTTATAGTTGAGTTGTAAATTTTATCATTTCATCACTCTGTAAATCTTTTGTTTGAGCAATGCTCGAACATGTACCATTAACCTCTTTGCCGCTTCAACTTTAAATGAATAATGGAAAAAGATGCATAAAATTAGTGGTTTCTTTTACAGGTTGCAGGGACCCATGGACTCCCTCCAACCCCCGCTAGGCGTTCACTTTTTATTCTTTATCAGACAGCATTCCCTTATATTGCTGAGAGGATAAGGTTGTTCTACCTGTCATGTTACTCGAAACTTTATAGTGCTGGTAATAACGGCCACTTACTTTCTATCCTGTTTACAGTGCCCGTATTGCTTCCCAGGGCATCAACATGGGCGATTCACTGCCTGATGATGTCATGAACAATGAGAATAGCTTAAATGATCAAATTCTGGCGTCTGCTAGTGCAGAAATGTCGTCATCCTTGAATTTGGGCGCACGCGTTTCAGCTTGGTCGAGATTGAGAGCTCGGGTTTATGGGTTATGGTTGAATGCAGTTCGGAGGTGGCCCTTAGTATGTTCTCTCACATTCTCAGCTTGTCTTGTACAAAAGATTTATTTAGACAAATCACAAGTTGTTGAATGAGATTGTTTTCCCAGTTCTCATGTTTGTAGAACCATCCATAAGGTCCTGTAATTTCATAATGGTACATACTGACATATACAGGTTCTTCCTATAGCCCGCGAGTGTTTCATGTTGGTTCTCGGCGCAAACCTCATGTTTTTTTATTTTGAAGGTAAACTATTAGGCTCTATGCATATCTAAAAGTCAAATATTGATTTGAACAAACGGAATGTTATTTTCTCTTGTCTGTCTCGTGTTGCTTCCCTACTTACACTCACACAGGTCTTTATTACCACTTATCAGAACGGGCTGCTGGGATACGTTATGTGTTTATTGGCAAACCAAGTAATCAACGGCCTAGGTACATCTGACAAGTATAGCTGTAAAAGTTGCTTCTAGTTTCTTCGTGATAACTATGTTTGATTTATCTATTTTAAGCAGATATCAGATATTGGGGGTTTTCCTTCTGGTTCAGCTGTGTATCCTTGCTGCTGAAGGATTAAGGAGAAGCAATTTATCATCTTTTGCTACCTCACTTCAACAAACATCTTTTGGAGCTTATCAAACTTCAACCGGTGACTATTTTTTTTTTTTTTTCAATTGCCATGTGGATGGGTCACTGGCTGTCAGTTTTGATTCTTTCCATTTCCAGAGCTAAAAAAAAAAACCGAGTGTACCTTGTTACAATTCGTCATAGGATGTTGGTTATTGCCTGATTAAATACAGAATCTTTATTGGTGGGATGATGCTAATTTCTATAAGAAATTTTACATATTAATATTATTGTTGCAGGAAGAAGTTTACCTGTCTTAAACGAAGAAGGCAATCTGATAACCGAGGACTCTGTAAAGGCTAGCCAGGTTCCATTATCTGCATCTACTTCAGAGGTATACTTAATCATTTATTACCAAATATTTGTTTTTCTCTGCAATTTTTCAGTCTTAGAAATGCTTATCTTTCTCAGCCTCAAGTAAGTAGCCTGAGCAAATGCACTCTCTGCATAAGCAATCGGCAACACCCAACAGCTACTCCTTGTGGTCATGTATTTTGCTGGTATTGGCTCCAAAAGACTACCAAATTTATTCTTCTTTGGTTCGTAACTTTGCACTTAAGTAGCCAACATGACTTTTGTCTTAATTTTACATATATTTTTAACACAGGAACTGCATCATGGAATGGTGTAATGAGAAGCCTGTATGCCCACTTTGTCGTTCGCCCGCGACTCATTCGAGTCTAGTTTGTCTCTATCACTCGGACTTTTAGCTCGCCCACAAGCTGCGGTGGTCTGATTGTGAAACTCGAAACAGCAAAATGCAGTCCATGTTACGAAGGAGCTCTGTAGTAAGTAAAGATAGCTTGGCATTCCCAACAAGCGCTGTACAGTTATGTTTATTGCGAATAGCAACCAATTTGCAGCAACGTCGTGTTTGAATGCAGTATCCGATGGAAGAATATGAGGGCTTTAGCCATTGTATTAGTGTTTCCTCTTTTTTTTTTTTTCTTTTTTTTTTT